GGGGGGGGTCCTGCCCGCAGAAGGAGTGCGCAGGGGCTGAGGGCTGCTCTCTGGGAGTATATATCCCCCCTCCCCAATTCACACCAGAGTCCGGGAGAGTGTTTTCTGTTGCGCCCTGGCCAGGGTGACTGGGAAAGTCCGAGAGAAGCTTATTTCAGCAATTACGTTAGTGCGTGTTTTTCCGCGGGAAGCCCATGTACGTGCGTGAAGCGCATCTTGCAACAGGATTTTTAAAAGGGGCAGAGAATGCTGGGGGTGTGTGTGGAAGGTTAGTGCCTGAGCCCGGTTTTTTAGCCACAGAACGGAATGCACAGAGCAATCGAAAGGCACTCGGGAGAGAGTGGGGGTCTCCTGCAGAGTGGTGGTGGGAAAATCTCGAGAGAAGTAGAAAGCCAGAGAATATTCCCGCTGGCGGCGATCCGCTCCAGATGCATTTTTGCGGAGAGGCTCCCTCCGCAGAGGCACGGGACTCTCCCCGGCTGGAGAGCGGCTTTGGCGGCCGCCAAAAACAACAAAATATCTCGCCTTGCATCTGCCGATGGCAATTTTTTTCCCGGTCTCTCAAGCCTGTTTACCCCAAAACACATGGCCTCCTTTCTTTCTGCCAGCATGTCATATTGCCATCGTTTTAATAGCAGCTGAGTGGTGAGCAAAGGCTCCCGCAAAAGGAGGTCACCTCCTCAGGCTGGAAGCGAGCTATTTTAAGGAGAGGCTGGGGAATTTGAGCGCTGCCAGTGCGAGAGCAAGAGCGGAGCGGAGGCTCCTCTGGATTTCAACCCACTAACATTATAACAGACAGGCAGGCGTCAATGGCTTTCCATACCGCGAGTGTGAAGGAAGTGGCAGGGAGGCGGAGGGGGGGGTAAACCCCAGCCCAGCCTCGCAGATGGATCACACACGCCGCTCTCTCTGTTGTAGCGTGGGTCAAAATAATAGGAGTCAGAAGGGGAAAGATCCAGAGGGAACCAGCCACTGTCTCTTGTACAGATTTGTAGCGAAGCCTTCGCTGTAATTAAAACCTTACAGCCAGATTCATTCAATGTGTGGCTCTGCAGAGGGTCGGGGGTTGGGGCTTTTTGTCTGGTTTTTGTTTTG